GTGTGTGTGTGTGCGTGCGCACTCTAATGGTGTTTAATGCCCAGACTAATGGTTTCAGCAGGGAATCCTTGTGTGGAGCTTGAGTCCAGGCCTGGGCTGATCGCTGGCAGGACCATCCCTCATCCTGATACCACATGGAGGTGAGAGCCAGGGGAACGTGCGGATACACACACACACACACACACACACACACACACACACACACACACCTGTCACTTTCTTTAAATCTGAGGATCCTAAACTATTTTAACTTTGTTCGATTGAGAGAACAGAGCTGGACCCAGTGAAGCTGGAGGAGCGATGATGATGATGATGATGATGATGATGATGATGCTGGTGGGGGGGAAGCTTTGAATACATATAAGATATATATTAAATGTGCGTGTATAGCTCTTTGTGTCCAGGTGTGACCCCATCACAGTGTTTATCTCCTCAGTGTGAAAATGAGATGACTTTTCTTTACAGATTTTTTTCAGTAGTTGAAAATAGTTGGTATTTTATAACAGTAATAAAGTCTGAAATAAACCCTCTCATTTTTTTCTTAATTTCTTCAATAATTAAATGACCGTTTTGATTAATCTTTGTCTCCCAGATTCACAAAAGCCTTTTTCAACTCCGGAAAAGTCCCTCTGAACATTTTGTAGAGTTTTTCTTTCACCAGGAGAATATCTGAGGTGAGGAGGTGGCATCTGGAGAGCGTGCAGGAAGCCGAACATGATTTCCAGATTCCAGCAGAAAGTCACAGTGTCTCTGTTTATATATATAGAATTTCCAAATAGAGAATTTACAGCTGTTATTTTAATTATCGCTTCATTTTCAGTTTTGGTCTCATCTCTTGATTTGTTGACAAATAGAAACATGTAGAATATCATCAGTATTTTCATTTAAATGAAACAAGATGTGATTGTGAAACTTTATCTTCTTCCAGAGGCTCTAATGTGTTTAAAAAGAACTGGATGAGAGAAATCCTACCTTTGCTGCTGCTGCTGCTGCTCGTGTGTCACTGCTCGTGAGGAGAGTGTGAATCCTCAGACAGAAAGAGAAGAAATAGGGCACTTTCATATTTATTTAAGTGTCAGATCCAGAGCTGTCTGTAGGGAGCGGGAGGGAGGAGAGGAGGAGAGGAGGGCTGCAACCACAGGAGCTCTGAGGTTTCACAAGGTTTTCTCTTTCTCTTTTCTATCGCCAAACACACACACAGACACACAAACACACACACACACACAGGGGAAAGACAAACAGACGGAGAAAGGAGGGAGACAGACAGAGGAGGAAATGAAGAAGAAAAGAAAGGACCTGCTGTCACTCAGTCACATAGAAAAACCAACTGCATGAACCTATCATTGTGTGTGTGTGTGTGTGTGTGTGTGTGTGTGTATGTGTGCAAAAACAGAGTTTTGTCTCAGATCTATCAGATAAATGAAGATTATAAACAGGTGTCAGACAAGCTGTGATCCACCGTCTCAGAGACGCCACATCACCTGTGTGAACGTGCAACAAACTTCCATCACAGCAGTCAGAGGAACAGGATGCTCCCCTCCAGTGACACACACACACACACACGCGTTTGTACTTCTGTCTTAGTGAGGACACTCATTGCTATAATGCATTCCCTAGCCCCTTACCCTAACCATCCAAACTAAATGCCTAACCCAAACCCTGACGGTCAAGCTGGCCTAACCCTAAAACCAAGTCTTAACCCAAACAGTCCATTAAAGGTTGGTCAGAAAGTGACGACCGGCCAAAATGTCCTCACTCCGTAGGTTGTAGTCCTCACAAATATAGCTGTAGAAGAGTGCACACGTGCACACACACAAGACTATCTCAGGGCCATACCTGCTGCTCTCACCTCACAGTGCAGGTGCTGCTATACATAAATCAACACTTCCTCCTGGTGGATGAGCTGTGAACTGCAGGGGCCCTCCGGCTGCAGGAAGTCGTCCTTCCTGTTAATTATTGTCAATTAGACAAAACCATTAAGGATCTGAAATCATTTCTAAACAAACTTTTTGGTCACTCAGTAAATCTTGTAAAATCAGTTTGTCTGACTTGTGAACTCAGTTTTAGTGAGAGACCATCTGAGAATTGTTTAATCCAGATCATGCAGGTATCAGTGTGTAAAGGGATGTTTGGAAGCTTCTGTTACATTATTTTTAAAAATCCAACGTTCTACCACATTAACTTTGATTATTTTCCATTTTCTGTTGTGCAAATAAAAGTAGAAATAAGAAGAAAGTGACTTTGGTTTCTTGTGGAAGTTCAGCAGCAACAGGAGGTGAGGTTTTCATTTAACAAGGTGTTAAACTCTATGGGCACTATAACAGCTGACTTGTGTTTTGATTGAATTATCGCTTTATATCCTTTTACTCCACATCAGCTACAAACAGAACACTTCTTTTATCACTTTTCAACTGTGACAGTTTAGAAAACTTACTTCCATCTGAAATGATCCATTAATACTGTGATACCAATTATAAGAGAGAGAGAGAAAAAGCCTTGGTTCAAAAATCTTATTTGGTCTGTTGTCAAAACAATCTGTACAAAGAGGTAAGACATGTAACTGCAGCACGACTCATCTGTAATCTGAACCTTCTGCATCATCAAGTTAAAACCAAAAAAAATAAAATCAAACAACACTGCAACAGGAAACAAAATGTGAAACTGAGTAAAAGAAGGAGGAAAAACAGTTTCTTATATGATTTGATTGACTTTATTTGTAAGGCACAAGAAGTCCTTCTTTACTGCAGAACATTTCATATTATTTATAGTAAATGTTTGTTGTACTTTTTTTTATAGTTTCTTTTTGTTGTTGTTATGGTTTATTTGTTTAAATGAAGCTATGGTTCCAGACACAAAAACATTTTTTTTTTCCGCCAAAGTACACACTTTCAGGTTTTACATTATACACAAAATAAGTATTTAAAAAAGACCTTTACAAAGCTCAAAACGCTTACAATGCTTCACGCTATGGGGCAAAAAGTTTGGGTTGGGGTGGGTGATGTGACGTGGGAGTAAATGGGATGTGGTGGGATGGGTGGGGGGTGGGGGGGTCAGAGAGGAGGAAAGAGGTCAAAGGGCAAAAAAAGGTCAACGTACTGCAGTTGTTTCCCCCCCTGGTGTCACATCAGGTTTGTAACACAATAGCACAAGAATCATCAAGGACAGACAAGAGAAGATGCAGCCATATACACATAAAGCTTTCTATGTATAACTGTATACAGAGGCCAGCACCTCCAACTACTTTAACAAATACATAGATTCTCGTTTCTATGTTTATAACGTCAGCTTTGTAACTCTGGTTCTAGTTCATATCGAATATTTAAAAACAAAGATTTAAAGATAACAAAAATAAAAAAACAAGTGCATTGACCACAGAAAATCTGGAACAAACATTCTTTAAAAAAAAATGTCTCCACTAGAAAGGAAATCACTCTCAGTTCCCCCGCAGACATGCACTTATGTGTGGGTGTGTGTCACTTTGTCTACATGCTCTGCATATCACTACGACAACTACAGTATGTAGATAGATACATACAGCATGTGGCTGGATGGGACGACGATGTGCTGCAAGCTTAAATTCACGAGCATGTTAGCATTTGTAAGAACAGCGATGCATTTCATTCCTGTGGTTTGTCACTGACGGCTGAACCTGTACAACTGTTTACACACACACCTCGTTCACATGCGTACACAAAGCTGCAGGATCGTCCCACAGACACTTTCACACACATAAAGGGTTTCATTCTGAGATTCCTTTATTTGGAGATGTTGGTTTTTTTGCTTCCTGAATTTCCACTGTATCAAACTCGCACATGAATCAGCAGTTTTAAGGTGACGTCAACAATAAAATGTGCTTTATCATTGTTCCAGAGATTATTTCAACATGTGTAAAAAGTTTGGGAATGAAACTCTTCATATCCATTCAATCACACTGAAGCCATTAAAACAGAGGGGAGGCTGAGAAAGTGTGTGTGTGTAAAACATAAAGTCAAAGCAACAATCATACAAACAGGTCGCCACTAAATCCAATCACCTCTGTGGACCTACAGTGTCACAAGTTCGATACCACTGAGGATTCCTCTGCTGGAAATGTGTGTTTGTGATTTTCATCCTGCTTCAAACTTTCAAACATGCAATGGAGACATGTTGGCTTTACACAGGTGTCCATGCACACACGTGTTCTCACTCATGTTGCCTGATTGGACCTCCTCACGTGACCTCGTCGTGCACTAACTGGACATGGAGATCAAAAGGTTTGTCTTTCTGCAGAGTACCATCTGCTGACGGCTTTGCTCACATGACTAAAATATGAATGTATGCCCCGTTTCACATGACGTGGAGATTATGCTCCGTCACACCGCCAGTAGTTTTGTTGCACATGTTTTGCTGCATTTATGTCATCAGAGTTAAAGTTTTAGAAAGTGGGAAAGACTTGTTTTTTCCTGAAAACTGATGTGTGTGACATTGCATTTAATACATCAGACAAGCCTGAGAGCCAAATGCCTCATGTCAACCAAAGCCCTTTATAATTAAACTGAAATGTAATGGAAAGAGTGGTATATTGTCAATTCACAGTGTCTGTAACCTTCACAGAGAACACGCAACTCTTCAGTCCTTCAGTTGTTTACTGACGGCTTGACTTATAAACGTGGGAATCAACAATCTGTTCCACTATCATGTAAATGTGTAAATTCAACTTACATTACTTTCAATAGTAAATAGACATTGTCTGAAATCCCTCCCTCATTTACATAGATCAGGTTACCCACAGTTTTTCTCGAGTGGTTCTCAAACTGGGGAGGTGGAGCTACTACAGTGTGTGATGATGACCAGAGGAAAATGTAATCAACCAAATTGAAAAAGTATTTTTAACATAGCAACAATTACCAAATAAGAGTTTTGACCCCTTATTACTAAATTTACATTGAATCTTTTTTTTGGTTTACTTTTGGATGATTTAGTTTCCGCTTCTGAAGGGAAAGGGGGCATGCCATAAAAGAGCTACTGCTCTGTAGTGAGCACTCAATTCTGAATTTGTGGGATTTGTTTTAGCACTTTTGGTTCATTTTCGCTTCAGTCAGTCAGACAGTGAAGAAATGACAGGAAGAGAGGGAACAGGATGCAGCAAAAGTCCAGAAGCTGGGGACTTTGTAAACATACTGTACGGTCTGTGTTTGAGCCACTGGGGGCACTATGAAGTTTACAGTGTTGCGAAACACAAATAAAATGGCAGCGTGTACCTGCAGACAGTTTCAACTTCCCCCTGACGAGGGGTCTAATCAAACAGAGTAAAATTATAAATGAAAACAGCAGGGTGGGTGAGCAGGGCTCGTGAGACTGACGGAGCTGAAAAAGCTTTCAGTGCTTCATCTGTCTGATATAAATTTGTTAGATCTTGGAGATTTCCCAATCGGTGCCGTATTATGATGTGAAATCACCTGTGCAATGTTGTGTTAGTTAAGTATGTGGCAGACCTGTGTGTTCACAGTAAATCAAAATGCACTGCGGAAATTTGAATGTACAGAGGGACACTGTTTCATCTTAATGTGAGGACAGAGATGTTGCTTAAAATGGACCAAAGGCTACTCCTCAAGATCTGGTTCATGACAGAGACTGGGACGGACCGCATGCAGAGTTTTAATGTCTCCAGTCTCATCTCTGTTTATTAAGTTTGTACACTCAGCAAGAATAAATAAGACATTCCCCTCGTGACACGGCTTGCTCTCTGTCCTGTCCTTGTTTATAGCTCAAGCCTGAGCCCGTCAAGGACTTCTTCAAAGACACACGCTGCCCTCTGCTGTCAAACACACAACATGCACGCTCTGTCCCTGCAAGTCTCTAATATTAGTGCACATTACGATGAAAAGGGCGGTTGGGGGGGGGCACGAGTCAAGTGGCATCTCAGTTCTTTTTGTTTCTACCTCTGCTCTCTTTAATGTCTGATTAAAAAAAAGTTGCCTTGTATTTAAGGTGCTGGGCGGATTTATCCGACGTACCTCACAGGGTCAGGCGAGGATCGTAAATGGGGGGATTACTTACTAATGTGGGTTTTTTATCTAGACTGACAGCTCTCGGAATGAGGTTAGCTCTAACAAGGTGCTTTTCCTTTCTCCATATTAATTCAGGATTATACACAAGATCTCTTTTTTGTCGAGAGGTGTCTTAAAACAATTCTGCTCTAAACGCAGCAGTTTTTGGTCAGAATGTGACAGTAGCTGTAGGAAACAAACAACAGGTATATCTCTCTCTTTAGTTTGGGCATTAGGCAATATTCAAACAATTCTCTGATCCATCCATTTAACCTCACAACTCAAGTTTATGTTTGAATGAATGCATGCAATGTGAACTGCCACAAAACAAATCAACACTATTGAACTATGTGAGGCCTTATCTTAGGAAAGTGAGTTTTGTAGGAATGATAGGATGTGTGCGACAGGTTTCACAACTCGCCAAAGAATCCCTCTGTTTAACAATTTGCTTGTTTTAACACAACTGCGTGTTCATTCCAACGGATCAGTCCTGTCTGACAGTGCTGTCTAAGCCCCCTCAGAACAGAGGCAAGAGGTGGGGGGGTGACAGGAAGAGAGGGATGGTGAAAAAAACCCTGAAACTAAACATGAGACAGAGCAACAGGACGGCAGGAAGCAACCGAAATAGAAAGTAGTACTGATAAAAAAGAAAAAACATGGTAGAAACAAGTTGTATTACATACACAAAAAAGTGTTTGAAGAAAAGACACAGCATACAAGAGAGAGACACTGATGTGATAGAGAGAAGGGAGGATAAAAAAACACCCAGGTAAATGGTAAATAGTGAAGGGATTAAAGCCAATGATAGCTAAGGTCAGATAGAGGGAGACCAGGAGAGCGACTGTAGGCCAAGGGGGCTCGGATCTCAGGATTCAGGTCTCTGGATAGAAACAGAGCTGAACGGGAAACCATCTAATCAGACTTGTCTCCATCCTCCTCGCGGTGGCTGTCGACTCCTTCGCGTGACGCTTTCTCCTCCTTGGCCAGCTGGGCTTGGGAGGCCAGCAGGGAGGAGAGGGAGAAGAGACCGGAGGAGGTGGTGACAGCGGGGAGGGTTGGCTGGCTCAAGCCCAGAGGCAGGGGGGTCATGGGTAGGGCCAGGCCCTGGAGCTGTGACAGCTGGTGAGCCTGGAGCTGCTGCTGCATGGAAGACAACCAGACACAACTTAGACACAGTGGGACGGACACAGCACACAAATCACTTCAAAACACTGATAATGTAGAAAAATACAAAGTCTGCAGTGCACTGAGCTCATATACATCACAACTGGGGTTTAATATATAATGCCTGAGGCACAGCACTAAGAGTTTGAGCTGGGACAGATGGAATGCACATCATAGTTAAAATACATACTCTAAAATACAAAATCTGCAGCACACGACTTATTTATATAAGATTCAAAAAATTAAAAACACCAAGAGAAAGGAGTAAAAGAAAAATGTAAAACATATGAAGGAGGGCATGATGTTAAAACATTTTTAAAATCAAACATAGGAAAATACAAAAAAAACAACTATGGTGACACATCAGTGGGTTGATGTTTAACACAATCCTGACTGACTAAGTGCCCGAGTCTGCTCAGTCTACACCTACAGCCCTGCTTTACACTCACAAGTGGAACTCACACTTTCTGTATATTGTGTATATATATATGTGATGTATATATGGTGATATTAGCAAATATCACAAGATATTGACAATAATGGGAAAATGGATAAAACTGGATGCTCTCAGGTCTATGTGAACCTGTATCTTCTGAATCTAAAGCAAGAGACAGAGAGAAAATGGCGAGGCAACTGTGTGAATCATGAATCATAATGACAGAGTGGTCAGGCTAGCACACACTAGACCCATAGCAAAATGATGGAGTAGATAGCCAAGCTGATGCTAAACCTTTGGTAAAATGATGGAGTAACTAAGGCTAGCTAGCGCAAGGCAGATAATGATTAAGAGTAGCTGGCTAAGATTACAGCCACTATGATGAAGGACTGTAGCTGTAGAATTGAAATAGTCAGATCCAGCATTTTGGAACTCCACACAAGAGCAGCAACTCTTACCGGTTTGTCGATAGAATAGGAAACTATTTGGTATTTTTGGTATTTGGTGAATTGAATTGTTTAGATTTGATGAAAGTCATTTGAAGAGTTAAAAATGCCAAATCTTGCACATTCCCATGATTTTAGTCTAATGAAAATGTAAAATACAGTAAATTCAGTATTTATAACATTTTGATATTTAATGTGTTGTTGTTTTGTGAAGACATTGCTTCGGGCTTCATGAAATGGTTGCAGACATTTTTTTTTACTATTTTCTGGTATTTTAGAGACAAAAATGTAAACCAATAATGGAAACAATTACTAGCTGCAGACCTAAATACACTCTAAGTAAGATCTAATACCTCAGGATTTGCATGTGAATGATCTTATGTACATAAAGATGTGTATTATTGCTGTTATCAAATCACTGTTATAATAACATTTCATTTGAATTGATTGGAATGAACAAAACCTCATTGAAAACAACAAATATATTATGTTTTAAAAAGTTAGTATTTGCTAAAGGGTTGTGGCTTTAGATAGCTTGGAATGTTTGTAATTTTACACCTAGATTTGCATTTGACACAGAAATTTGTTTTCCTTTTTGCAATGTTAAAATTAAAAATTGACATGTGCTAGTTATGTGTATAAATATGGGAAGTGGTGACATAAACAAGGAAACATTTGTAATACTGTCAAAAAAGTCAAGTTACAGTACTATATCATGTCAAAATTGCCAAAATTTGCATTAACCACTACATCAATGATAAAAGATAAAATTGCCCCAGTCATTCAGCTCATAAACAATTATTCATTAAATTAATGTCAGCAAAGAAAACAAAGTTGATTTTAATGGCCAATAATTGTGCTTCTCTAGCCATCACAAGACCCTCTGGCAGGGCTGCAGGCTGGAACATCGTACCCTTATGATGGAGTTCATCTCTGGAGGGGTGACCTGCTTGGCCCTCTCTATGGCCGCCAGAACCTGCTGCTGGTGCTGGAGGCAGGGGGGGTGGGGTATGGGTGGGTGAGGGGGTGTTAAAGACGAGAGGAGGAAAGTGAGGGAGACAATAAACGTGAGGCAGAAACAGGGGGAGGAGAGTTTGTGGGGGAGAGAGGTGAAAAGGTTAGATCAATATCAATAGTTGCAACAGAGACCCAACAACCCTCGCTGGTGATGCAAACCCCCCAACCCCCAACTTCATTCATCTGGTCTCTCTCACACACACACACACACACGCACACACGCACACACATGCACAAAGGCCCTCTGAGACACTGGGGAATGGATGGTCGGCTGGTGTGCTGTAATGGGTGGAGGTCAACCCCCTGTTGGGCAGATAAGAGCATGGCTTATCTGAATCACACAACCATTTATTACGCTGACGGACACAAACACACACACGCACACATGTATAAAGGAAAAGAGGAGTGGGATGGAGGAGGCTGCACAGGGAGGGAGGCTAGTGAAGGAGGATGTCAAAAAGGAAGGGGGAAGGGAGGACAGGGGCTGGGGAGGAGGGGGCAGATTGAATATTGCAGAAAGTCAAGGTGGGGGAGGGAGGAATAATAGTGTAAGTGGGGTGGAAAGGAACACAGGAAGCGCATGATGATGAATGACGGGAAGAGAGAAGTGAAGAGGAGAGGAGGAGAAGGAGGGAAGCGGAGCCAGGGGTCACGGAGGTGGGAAGGTAATGAGGCGGGAATGAGGGTGATCTCATTCCACGATGTGAGGAATAGGGCCGAGGGTCAGGGGTTAGTGACGTTTTTGTGTCAGTGTGTGTGTGTGTGTGTGCGCCACAGTGTGTGTACTCACCTCCTGAGACAGGTAGGGGAGGACTTGTGCACAGATCCCATTCAATCTCTTCACTATCTCAGCCTGTGGAGAGAGACTTAATTAGTAAAAGGATAAAATTGGCATTATTCAAAATGTTTATTGTCAACAGATCAGACCAATACCAAAGAGTTAGTCCGTGTCTCATATTTTTAAGTCTCTAAAATAATTTATTCCTTCATTAAAAATTTGTAACAAATGTATAGTTTCACTTTATAGGCTACATCTAAATTAATACATTTTCAGGTGACCATTCATATATAGACTGGGTTGTATGCCGGTGTAGACAGGAAACGGTTTGTCTATTTTGCAGTTGGTTGCTTAGTTCCAGAAAATACTACGAACAAGAAACAAAAATGTTGAAAAATATGGATTCCTTCTGTTCGACCGATAACAAGGTGGAACTGTTACACAAGTGACAGTAAGTGTTAACATCAGTTTGCCTTCACAGCAGGTAGTTGAGTCGTGACTCTTATGAACCAATCAGAAAGGGAATGCAGGTGACTGCATCATGATTTTTTAAACGTCTCAGTTTTTGCACGTCTGTAATACAACAAAGCCTTTAAGACTTAAAATAGGGTCAGCAGCTCAGGTTCAGGTGCTCAAAAACTCTGGAGTAGTGATGTGACAGTGATCTGTTTTAAAAACTAAAACCAGGTGGTGTGGATCGAGCCTCAGAGGGACGCCATTTCCTGAAACAGCTGAATTGTAGCATTTCCAAGAGTTAAACGAGCAGGAGTAAATCATGTGCTTGTTGGTAACTATTTAAAGAGGCAGATGAATATGACCGCATTTTGTTCTTTTGAGTGTCTACAGCACCAGCTTGGTGTATGAATTACTGAATCAAAATAATATACAGTGCCCATGTTCATAATTATGAACGAGCGTCGTCCAGTGAGGTGGTGTGGCTCATCAATGTGTTTTTAAAGCCCAAACAAAGATTTAATGGTGCCTGCGGACTGAAATCCATCTGGCAAAATTTAGAAAGTGTGGCCAAAAGCAGAGGGGACATAAAATAGTGCGGGCAGGCCTGTTAGAGCTATCACCAACTCTCAGCAGTCAATGCACAACCAGAAGCACATGTGCCTCGCTCTGTTCTACATAGAAATTAATGGGAAGCAAATTTTTTTCTGATTGCGCCGTCCGTCCACCTACACACGACTTTTACTTGAGCTGCCTCATTAGGTCTGGTTAAGACCGTGTGGGAAAGTACAAACTGTGACTGATTGACAGCTCCCTCGCTCTTCTTGTACATTCGTTGCACATGTTAGGTCCAGAGGACTTACGTCATTATCACTGTGCTTCATCTGGCTGTGTCGGTGAGCTGCTTGTGATGTGGCAGCATGAAAGGTAAAACTGCCTCAATGGAGCGCAGGCAGCAAATGAGGTGCCAGATAAGACGTGGGAAATCTCAATTTCATCTTTTCACTGCCTTTAAGTGTTGGCACACATTGATGACAGCTGATGTGGAATGCCTTTATTTTACTGTATTTTCTAAGATGTTTTTGGTACATGTAATATTTTGATAGGTATCGCACAAAATTATTGATATTCAGTATATATGGTAGGTGGCATTTTGTGTACCAGATGGAAACCACACTCCCTCATGCTGTAACCAACAATGTTTCATGAGGCCTTTTTTCTATTTGGCTGCTTCAGTTTCAGGGTCCTGGGTTAAGCAATTCAAGCAGAGCATGTTGCTTACTGTTGAAAAATCAGTGGAAATGAGAATTTGATTCTCCAGAAAAACCACCATCACCTGCAGCTATGCTTCTTGGGGGACATGCAGTCCCAGTTGTGACCTCCACCGCATACAGCACCAAGGTTTTCACCTGGAGTCAAACCTCAGCAGTGAAACTCATGCTGAACTGGAAGTGAGGACAGCATCTAAACGTTTCTACTCTCTGAACGTTCAAACCAGACAGAACCTAACCTGTGAGGGCCGTGTTACCATCTATATTGCTATAAGGCCATTGCTGCAGTATGGCAGAGTGCAATAAAGGCCAGTGGACGCAAAAACCAAGGTCCCTCAGGACATTTTCCATTTGCCACTCCAAACCACCACAACTCCCATCTCTCTAGAGCAGGAGCGAACATGCAGCCGTTCAGCTGGTGAAAGAGATGACACACACTCGACAGTAACTTGCTCCTACAGACAAGAGCATGTTATCCGAACAGACTACAACAGAGCAGCAAAAATGTCACACACATCCAGTGTAGAACAAACAGACTGAGAGCAGCAACTCTGCTTGCAGCTGTCAGACCGAACAACACACGACTGAGAGGAACAAAAGATGGTGAGTCTCGAGTTTGTTTTTATGGCTTACGTGTATGATGAGTATAAATGTATGGATATGAGTTCATATTGATATGTATAGTTCATAACTATAAGCCATTTTCAGACACGACCTACAGTTCAAATCTGTAAAATTGGCTCCGGAGTTTACTCAGAGTTTGCCTTACACACATGCCCAACACAGCAGGAGGTTCTCTGCACAAACGCGTTCACAACATCAAATCCTCCTTATTATTCAGACAAGAGGATTTAGTTTTTTTCATTTTTGCGTCTGTCATGTGTTAGAAGCATCATCAACCCCCTGCTCGCTGTGAATCCAGTGGGGGATCCCCTGCTGTGTTCACAGATCAGATTCTCCTGAATTTTAACAGACTTTATACTAGGAGGCCAGGCGGAGTAAGTCAGCATAAACTGCGGAGCCTCTTAGTCTGACATTTACGTTCACAAATGTACCTCCACCGGAGAACATACAGAGTATCTTTCGAGTTCAGTGTCTGAAAGCAGCTATATGTCATGTTAATTTTGAGCAAGAATGTTATAAACTCAATCTCCAGTCATGGTACTGCCATCTGAGTCAATCCAAATCAATTTTATTTGCGTAGTGCAAAATATTAATAGAAGTTACAGCACTTTTCATATAGAACAGCTATAAGCGGTACTCTTTATAACATTATTTACACAGACCCAAGGTTTCCCATCATGAGCAAGGACCTTGCGACAGAAGCAAGGAGAAACTTTTAAAAGGCAGACACTAGGACAAAGAGCGAGATAGGGAAACACAGCCTGGACGTTTATGTGCTTGAGGGAGTGAACAAACAGTTACAAGTGAAGCAGAAGTGGTTTTCAGAAGGTTTATAAAAATCTGGTTAGCAGGACAACATGGACTGTACTTTATATACCAGGTTTCACTAATTCATTGAGACTGAGACTGACCCGTTGGTGGTATACTGATAACAGCTACACAGCATGAAATAAATAAAGAATAAGGCACAAACTGAAAGTTACAGTTAGAGATGAGTTTTAAGTTTAAATTCAAAGGCTTCAACTGATTCAGACAGTCTGATGTCAGCAGGCAGGTTAGTCCAGAGGAACGGGGGTCGATAGGAAAAGGTCCTGCAGCCAGCAGACTTCTTTTTAACTCTGGAGACAGACAGGAGCCTTTTGTTCTCAGAAAAGCAGAGTACGGGATCAAATATAAGGTTTAAGGAGATCAGACAGGTATGAAGGGGAAAGCCCATTCAGAATTTTGTACGTCATAAAAGGAACCTTAAAAAGGAGCCAGTGAAGGGAGGATTAAATTGTTGTAATCATTGATCTACAGTTAGATGATATAACTCGTCCCCAAAAGTGATACAACTCATCTTGATCGCTGCCCCTGATGGATAGATGCAGTATAGAGCATAAACTCCATTGACCAAATTTTATCAAAAATAGGGTTTCTGTCATTTTAGGTATTTATTAAACTGATTGTGTCAGCCCTTTTCAGTAAGTTTGGTTTAAAAAGAAATGTTGTGCTATAAAAACAAGGTGAAACTGACTTCTGATTGACTGGACCTTGACATCGCATGTTTTGAAGATTTTTAATACGAGCTTGGACTAGGTTAGAAAACAAAACAAATGTCACAATAATCAAGTCTAGATTAAACAATGGCATAAATTAGGATTTTTTAAAGTATGTCACAGACTGAAAAGACCTGATTTAACTAGATTAGTTAGGAGGACAGAAATTGGTCCTGACAATGTTTTTAATTAGCTGAACTGCACATGACTGCTGTGACACTTGAATACAACAAAGCCATTATTTATGTTTTAAACCCGTGTATTTTCTACAGTTACAAGTAAAATGTCTGCTGTGAAAATGGCTTATTGATCATTGAATGTAGTTCATACTTGGGTCATATCATGTGATTCCCAGCGATATTCAACCAAAACCTTTTCAATACAGAGACAATACTTATTTTTTTATTTGACAGGGGCAATGCTGATTAATCAACAGCAAAATTACTGTAAATAAAGAGATCTTAATAGGTGAATTTTCATCTGTTGTCACTGGCCGGTTTCTAAAATGGCAAACTAAAATTTAAATAAAATGACTTGTTATAGTCAACACATACAAGCAATAAATACACTAATATAAGACTAATATTCAGACAGGTAAAAGACAGCAGCAAAAGTCCACAGTGGTTTAATGTGCACATATCTGATTATTACTACCTACCAGTACAAGAATGATAAGTCTTTTCATAGGATCTGTTGTCAGGAAAAGTATATATATCCCACCTTTTCCTTTAAATCCTCATTAAATGTAAATGGTCGTTCAGCGATTCCAAACACACTCTCATTAGTGTGGGAACCATCTGCTATGACCTTCCCAAACTGGGGCACACATCTTGTATTATACACACAAACACACACCTATCAGCCATATCAGAATCCCTTTATCACCTCATTAATTAAGTTGCTTGTACTTAATACTCTTTCTCAAAACTCTTGGATGCACACACCATCACACACAAACACGCGCACAAATTAACAATCACCCAAGGAAGAACGCACATACCCTTTCCTCTTTCTCATCATGCACACTCCCTATCTTTCTCGCATGCAGGTCTATTATCACATTTGGTTGGTAATCATCCAATCCGTCTGAGATATGCAAAGCAGCAGTAATTGTGTTAGAGCCTAATTTGTGGCACGATGAGGAGAGAGGGGCCCTCCTAACAGTCATTAGGCATGCAGAGCACAGCTC